TGGTTATTGTCCATTTCTGTACTTAAAGCAGCTTATCGACTAACTTATCAGTCACAGAGTAAAAGCAGACGATTAACATTTAAATATGTTAGTATCGTAACCATTCACAACTCCCTAACTTATTATGCTGATTAGACAAAATATGAGGACCTTGTTTTTTTTAAAATACACTTTGTGTAGATGAACTTAGCTTACTGACCCACCATGAGCCGGACCGCCCGAGAACTTTAACCTAACTACCTGGATGCATTCATAGCCTTGAAGCAACAGTGGTAAATGTTTACTGGTTATCTCCACTAATCCTCATTATGACCATGAGAGTAAACGCATCAGACAATCATCGCAGGTCTAAGGTCAGCAGACAGACACAGAGGTTGCCATGGTAACTGCCAGTGCTCGAGACCTCTGCAGCTTTCTATAGAAAGAGTGGGAAGAGGGCTTCAGACCTACTGACACAAATCATTATCACTTTACACTGGGCTCGTTCCATTTGAGAACAATTAGAGCCGGCTGCACTGCAAGCACTTGCAAATGTTTACAATATACGCACACACACAGCGATGTGCATGAATAACCCCCCATTAAAGGCAAGACACAAACACACAACCTTAAATACCTATTACAAAGCTGAGTGCAGCTGACTGTAAGAGCCCTGCCTGCAGGACTGATGCATGCTTTCCACATACATTTGATATCTCAGCTGGGTAACTCCTTTGGCTAATGCACTGTAGCAGAACAAGTGGGAGTAAAAAACTGGAGGAGATAAATGAGCTTGCTAAGCAGAAGGATGAAGGTTATTTCTTTCAAAGCGTAGTGCCCAACTCTAGCTGTGTAGTACTGTAAAAAAAACTTTAGCTGCTGCCAAACTGTGATGCAACTTACCAAAAATTGAGCCTCATCGTGGTACATGCTTGTGATAAACATACAGAAACAAAGAAGACACCAGTGGTCACATATTATATATATTTATAGTATCTGAGCGCTACTGTTGTCTTTTTAAAGCAGTCATTTAGATATACAATGTTTGCATACTTTTAAGAAACTAGCGGTTATTTAAGGAATGCATATCATCTGGCACGCTGAATGCCGAAGTACGTGTTAGGGCTGACTTTCAGCTACCACCACACATAATATTGACTCAGTATTAGCAAAACTAGTCAAATTAGTGTTTTTTGAAGTCAGTTAGCTGTGGTAGCCATCTTAAAACAAATTAACTTGTAAAGTTAACCATTTTTTTCCATTGAATATTTTCTGTGTTGTTAAAATTGCCACAGAGACCATTCAGTGTAGAACCACTAGACTGCGGAACAGCTTCTACCCTGAAGCCGCTCGACTCATAAAATCCCTAACAAGGAAAATCACTGTTAAAAAAAAGAAAAGAAAATCACTGTAATGCCACTTTACGGTATTTTTCGGATTATAAGGCGCAATATCAATGAACGGATTTGTTTTCATACATTAGACAAATTAAGCGAAACTAAAACATTGTGACTGATTTTTGAGCGCCATGTACGTGTATAAACTCAGTTCGCGGTCAGTAAGCACAACCAGAATTAATACATACGGCACACCGGATTATAAGGATCACTGTTGATTTTTGTGAAAAATTAAAGGATTTGAAGTGTGACTTATAGTCTGAAAAATATGGTAATCTGTGATATATAATTTTATCTGTGCTGCTGATTATCCATGCTGCTGATTTCTTGCCTTTAAGCTGCTATATTCATACCCATCTGCTCACAACAGACTCATGTTCAGGCTGCTGTTTAATATACCATATTATTTTACATTATTAGTGTTTAGCGTATATCTTAGATCCTTGTATATTGTTTCTTTTTATGCGTTGTATTCTTTTTTTTGTGCTATTTTTGGGTGTAACTGGGACCTTGGGTACACAATTTCATTCCACCTCATGTACCACATGAACGCAAATGACAACAAAAAAAAACTTGAACCTTGAAAATGTGTTCACTGATTCGTGAGATAATTTGCTAACAGACAAAGACATATGCACACATTCAATTACCATACATGACTGCACTCCATAATGTAAGGCAGGCAATAATAGATGTTAATTACAAACAAATATCCTCAAAAATAGTATATTCCTGGAATATAAGTGAAAATAATTCAGTACAATGATCTCATCTGAATTCTGGCAATTACAGATAGTTTGTATAATCACAGTATGATGGCAAAACATCTTGCACTTTACATTAATTTACGCATTTCTTAATGTGAAAAAAGACCGAATTGTATAAAATTGTGTAAAAGCATAAAGTTGTAGGCCTGTCGCAATAAACAATAAATCAATTAATCACATGATAAATGAATAATATCAACCTCGTTTTCATTTATCGTCTTTATCGTTTCTTTGTGTCTCTCTCTTTCTACTGAAGACACTGGACGACAAAAGGCTCAACTCTGGTGTTCTTCACTGACCCCTCCCTTTCTCTTTTCTCTTTAAAATCTGTTTTAACCGTCCAAAATCGCATTTTGGGATCGTTAAAAGCAGCTAAGCTGAGAAGCTCAGCTACGAGCTAAGCGATCAGGCCGACCTCGGGGAAAAAAACCTCTGTCTTGTCAAAGCTCCAAAATTCATGGTTGAAACCTGTGCCTTGCTAAAGAGCTCAAACCACACCGAGCGACCAACATTTTGAAAACCGAAAAACAGGAACGAGAGACAGCCCATGTCACGTCAAGGGGCCTCCCTCCCATTTTTCTTAAAGAGACACACTGCTCGCTCCCTCACTATCCATCCTTCGGTTCAAACTGTCTTATACTGCCATCCAGTGGTAAAAAAAAAGGTACTACACTCAAAATTAACCAACATTTCTTCCTAAATTTGACATTACTAATTATTGTCAAATTTCAAACATTATCGTTTACCGCAATAATTTCTGAGACAATTAATCGCCCAGCAAAATTTGTTATCGTGACAGGCCTATAAAGTAGCTCACAACCTCTGTTCAAGGTAATATTTTCTACAATTCTGTAAAGACGGTGATGTAAATAGTTTTTTACGAGAGTGCTGAGAGGCTGAAAAACTGAGTCAGGTTCTACGGATCTCAACATGTCAGGACTTTTGCAGCCAAATACACAAAAGCAGCTTCGGTACTCCACAACTTGAAGTATTTTTTGTTGTTTTTTTTGCAGCGATGTTTATGATCAGATCTCAACTCTGTCTCTACCATCCAACAGAAAACAAAACTATGTGTAAAAGAGCAAAAACATAGTTATAGGGAGTGTTTAATTTTTCCTTTTATTTTTTAAATTACATTTGTGTGTCTGCAGACTAAATAACATTTTCCTTGTTTTACACATACAGATAATAATTCAGGGTTAAGTAAAACCAAACACTATAAAGCCTGGGACAAAATCCACATGTTCCTACATGAAGTCCTCTTGGCCTCTCTTTTTTTTCAGTCTTGACAAGTTAAAAACATTCACTGGAAGGGTGTGTGATCTTGATCAGCCAGCCTGGCCGGCGAGCACGCTTAGATGTTACCTACACTTAAAGTACACCTAAATAGCACCCATGCAAACACAACAAGACCAGAGATAACCTTGCTATACCGGTTCTCTGTTTGGAAATAGGTGACAGATTAGGTTTGAGACCTGTCCTACAGTTCATAGGTAGCTATGTTGCAGCATGTCGCAAGGATCCACCCCACGCAGATGCACAAAATCAAACAAAACCTGTTTTAAAGCCACAAAGACAGACATCTCTGTGTGTAAACGCAGGCCAATGTGATGTCACTTAGAGCTCAACAACACCCGGCTGCGCTGATTGAATCAGAGTGGATCAGCAGTTCTGTGTCGCTCTGTGTGAGGACGTTTACCAGCAGTGTGCACTCCAACACAAACACCATGTTGTGCAGCAATAAGAGCCGCGACGAGATTAGTATGCCTCGGATTCAGTACCTCAGACGCACACAGATTGACCCACAATCTGTAATAATCCAAAATTTATGTTACAAATCTGCACGTGCCCTGATTTTTGCTTCCTTACGCTCGACTTTTCTCAGAGGCAACAATCACAGCTAGCTCTGTGGGTGTTATATAACTAGCTGTGCAACTATTACGCTTACGACTCAGTAAGCGCACGTGCACACTTGTATACAATATACACGTGGACTATTACGCACACACCCCTGTGTCACACAGGCAACGCTGAACTATGCACACAGTTGTGTACAGAATGCTAACCTGAATCCATTTAGTTAACCTATTCTCGCTTCTAAAAGCAAATCCATAAATGGTAGCGGTTGATGCGGCGGTAACTTCTTTTTGTACTCCGGCCAAAAGAAACACCATAGCTGAAATAACAGTAAAGTACGTGAACTTTTAACTTAGGAGCAGATCTTTAAGAAGAAACCTGTAGCAGATGGTCATAAGGCCCTGATCTCATCAAGGCTTACGGTTTAAAGAGGTGGCCTAAATCCCAAGAGAAAACCTCGGCTGATATACGCTGTCAACTTTTTTGAATGAGCTTTGCATTTGTCTAGTTAAAATGGTCAACCCACATACACAGAGACAATTGTTCCCTGGATTGCAACACCAAGGACGCACACATGCACTTAAAAAACAGAAACGCACTCGAAACATGTGCTTAACTGCTGCCAGTCATGTGCCACCAGCTTCCCCCTCTTGCAGCCAGACCTCGATTCTCCACACGCAAACTGACACAAGCGTTTCAACTTGCACTCGGAGGGAATCAGTGGAACCAGAAAGAAAACAAATGAATAAATATAGTGTTATTATCAGCTGAGAAGGCTCACAGTTTGAAAGCCAAACCTTCTGTTTCAACTGTCTGGCTCAGTTAACGCACAATCATCACTGTCACGAGTGAGGAAAACCTCAGAGATCAAACGATGCAATGCCAAAACCCTTGTTCTTCAGCTGCTTCAGATCAGCTGTTTGTTAAATCTCCAGCAATTTATGTGCAAAATAAGAAAAACTGTATATGAGCTGTTCATTGAAAACCAATCATGTCTTACCTGTACATCACACCAGCTGATCAGAGATGACGTTCTCCTCCTCTTGAGTTCCACACACTTCCTCAGCTTACAGATCTGGTGGCCGGTCCTGCGATTGAGGCAGCAGCTGCACTGGCCACAGTTAATCTTCCTGAGGCATGGCTCACACGTCCCACACCTGCTCCGCTTCCTCCTCTCCTTCCTCTGTGGTTTTAGAGACGTCCCCGAGGACCCCGGTCCCAGGCCGGCCTCCGCATAGCCCGTCTCTGATTCGGTGTCAAAAGAAAACGAGGAGCGAGTACTTTCTGAGCTGCAGGAGAAAGTGGAGCTGCTGTCGAGATGAACTGAGATCTTTGGCACCAAGTCTTCCTCAGGCATTGGTACCCGAACGCTGTCCTCGACGTTTGGTTCATGCTTAGCCACAGGGATGTCTGTGCCCAACAGAGTAACCAATGACAGTGAAAGTACAGATGCTTTCTGGCTGGTACAATCTCGTGACTCTTGATTTAATTCACCATTTTTGGTCTCGGTTGGTGTGAAACCTTGTCCTTCTCCCTCAGAAGAAAGGACTACCAGGCTTTGTTGTTGGTGTGACTCATTATTGCTGGACTCTTCTGAGATAGGTTTAAGGGAGTCCCTACAGACGATGACGGGCATACTTCTTTTCACTATAACAGTCTGCACCTTCGGTACAGCATCAGGGACAGCCAAGGAGCCTTGTAACTGAGGTTTAGCACCTTGAGCGGTAGGTTGAATGTCTGTTTTGGCCTTTCTTACAGCTTCTGGCTCAAATGGATCTGAGGGGAAGGGGGCTTTGGTGGGATTTGAGGTAGTTGCGTTGAAGACCATTAACACATGTGCCGGTGTCCCGGACTGGGCTGTTGGTCCCGTGTTACAATGAGGTGGATCTGGGGTTTGACAGGTTGGAGTGCTGGTTTGGTAGGTAGCAGGACTAGTGAAAACCTGATTTTCTTTTCTTCCACCATCTTCAGTCTCACTGTTCTCCAGCCCTACAGATATTTCTTTCTTTTCCTCCAAGGTCTCACTTTGTCTCTCAACAGCCTTCTCCACATCTAAACTCCTTCTTTTCTTGTGATTTATCTCATCTTTTCTCTCTGTGACAACTGATCCACTTTCATCTGCTCTATTCTCATTCATGCCCAGAAGCATATCCTCCTTTTGTTGGACAGTGCACCCCCCATCCTGCTTACCACCACTGTCAACATGATCAAGCTCATCTCCAGTAATGGATGAAGTGTCATTTTCCTCATTACCGCCATGCACTCCCAATGAGGTGAGGCCTTTACTCCTGTCACTACTTGGCTGTCCATCATTGTCATCACAAACAGTGACCCCTGTGACTTGATTCGAGTCACCTTCACTGTTGCGGCTGACCGTCTGTGCGTCTTCAACTAAAACACCGTCACAGCTGTGCTGCGCAGCGTCTCCCGGCGTGCTGTTACACTCCGGCGAATCAGCTTCGAGAGAACTCTCCTCTTTAGCGTTGTCAAGTTCAACACTCTGCTCTTTGAAATTTGAAGGAACTTCACCGTCAGTTTGGCGACGATTCGTGGAAATTTCTTCGTCGTTGCCGTTTTCCACTTTTCCGTGTTCTTCATCGCAAGTGGGATCTTTGATGACTGAGGGTTTGTGTTTTGTGTTTCGTTGCCGGGAGGCTGCTTTTCGCCCGGTACTCCCTCTGCTGCTTTTCCTTCCTCTGCACGGTTTAGAAGACTGACAGGGTGTTGCAGATGCTTGCGTGTCCCATTGAGATCTCCTCTGTCCTCGGGGGACCTGCGACTTGCCACGGCTCTCAGGCTGACTTGACCGTCTTTGCCTTCTAGATCCTGTTACAAGGCTATCTCTGCTAGGGGACCTCCTGGGATCCTTACCTCTTCCACGAGGACTTTGACCTCGTTTTGCCTGCGATCTGGTTGCTGACCTTGTGGATTCTGCAGGTGCCTTCTGAAACCTCTCTGTTGCTTTTCCTCTGGATTTGCTTGATTTACAGGTTTTAGCCTTGATTTTGGTGGTTTTCTGGCCTTTTCGTCTCTGAGCAGGTGTCTGTCTCCTGGTGGACTTGGTAGCAGGCATGGCTGAGGGTGTGGAGGAAAGGACTTTTGGCAGCCAGCATGGGAGCCAGATAAATGTTTATACCTTGCTAGGAAAAGAAACGTCTTGGATTCTTGTTTTATTGCAGTTTTCCTTTACACAGTAAGTTGCTGTGGCGTTTTTTGTGCGTATTTGCAACACATTACCTACAAAAATGAGGGGAAAAAGAGAGAAAATTAATACAAAGTCGTTGCTCCGAGTTGGAAATTATTTTATGTAAACTTGCAGAAGACATCTAGCACGAAAGAAGTTCTAACAGCACGCTATTCTTCTGTACTTTTGTCTCCAAAAGAAGACACTTTTGCCCCTCCTTAAATACCCACTTGGACGAGCAAGTGCCTTGTGGTTGACGTCAATGAAGCAAATTCAAAACACGCTTACGCAGGAAAATGTGAAGAATAATCAGATGAGGTGGTTAAAAAAAAAAAAATAATAAAAAAAATAACATCAAAGCGTCCGTGGATTTAATTGTTTAAAGGGCGAAGTCTCCGGACCGAGGTCGGATCCTGTTTTTTTTTTCTGCCTGGCGGAAGGAGAGGGTGTTATTACCGTGTAAAAAAAAAAAAAAACGCCCTCGTCGCCGTTTATTATTATTATTTTGCACTTGACCGCCGTTTAAATCCCACCCCCGCCTGGAAACCTGGCTTTTTCTTTATTATTACGCACGGGCTGTTTTGGTTGTGGGGTTTATTTCCACGTTTACGGCTCAAAAATGCTTTACATACCACAGAGAGACAGTTGTACGGTCTGAGCTGCTAATAATACTCCGCTCCGCAGCGAGACAGCTTGGATTGGTGTCCCTCCTCGGTAAATATAGACCGCTGCTAAGTTCAATCCTCTGCCGATGGCGACTCGTGGACATGATAGCAGCGCCCACAGCACGAACAAACATCAAGCGGATTCTATTTTTTTATCTTTATTTTTTTTTTTCTCTCGCTTTTTTTTTTCTCAGCCGTGTGGCGTTCACGGAGCCACGACACCCGTAAAAATGTAAATCCCTCTTCTGTCAATCCATTCAGGGCAGCCCCCGCTCCGCTCGCGCACGCTCCCCCTCCACCAGACGCAACCCTCGCTCTCTCTCCGCCTGCCTGGCCCCCGAACCTCCGCTCTGAGAGGAGGGAGAGGAGAGGAGGTGAAAACCCGGAGTGGAGTTTTCAGCTTCAGCCGGTTTACACAGGAGAGTGTCAAAACTAACGGCTCCATCATCAAGTAGGTGTCAAATCATCAATCATCCAATCCTTTGTTTAACACTTTCTTTACTAAATGTTTGCTTTTACCCC